TGTTTCCTCTTTGTCGCCGATTCTCGGAACCCTCGTAGGTGAACTTTCACCGCGATTAGACGACGGGTTTCCGCGCCCGCGATCCAACGGCTCCGCTTTTCTCACGCAACTTCCGGTCTTCCGTCGTCGATCTTTCCGGGCTCGTCTCGGTGACTGGCGCGATCCGTTATCGTCGATTCTCACGGCGGGCAAATGCGCGCAATCGGCTCGGCGTTCGTCGTTCGCTGAAGTTAACGCGCGAAGAATCAGCGTCGCAGTCGGGCAGTCGGCACGGGAATCACAGTGCAGCACCCTATGCCCGCCCGTGTCGATCTCAGCGGGCATGACGGTCTCATCCGACGCTTCTTTCTTTGCCCTCCTCCCCCCTGTCCACGTTGGTACAACCGTTTCCCGTCGGTTTGTTATAAATCGTCGCGTTTTCGCGCGTCTCCTCCTCGCGATTCCGACCTCTCGCCGCCGTCTCGAACGGTCTCGAGGAACGTCGTTGAATCGTCGCGATCGTCGTCGTCGGTGCAGTATCGATGAGGGCCGCGCTCGCTGCCAGTTGGCATTACAGCCGACTTCCGGTCACTTCCGCCTCCGAAGAGGGTGCCTCGAGACGACGTGGGTCGCTGGAAACGAGGGATGCGGCTGCCAATCCGCTATTACCGTCCATGCACGTCCGTTGTCGTTTCGTTTTCGATTCTCTCGCATTCTTGCGGCTGCTGTCGGTCGCTACCTCGGTATTATATGACGTTATGCGCGCGCCCCGGTTACAGCCTCCGCGCAGTTCTTATCTATTGGACCAGCTGATCGCCGGATTCCGGAACAACTCGCCGCGGACGGGAAACGACGGGATCGATTCGCGGGATGACATCGGGTCAACACGGTGAATCTCGCGAGCTCCACAACGGAAATCGGCGCCGTGTTCTTCGCGCGAGATCGCCGAGGATACTCGAGACACTGCGAATGATCCTGGCAGCGGGTGATCGGTCGTTCTCCGGTAATCGGCGAGGCCGATCGGTCCTTTTTAAATAATTTTGTCGCGATATGCGGAGTGACACTATCGGCTGCTTTCGACGATTTTTCTCGGTCCTTATCTCTCTTTTTCCTTTCGTGAATATTAATCGACGAAAGCCAACATGCATTACCTCACATCGTCTTTCTCTTTTCTGTCGGATTTTTTTCTGTTAGTCTTAATGATGATCTATCTTCTTCTGGATCTCTCGTACACCCTTCCAGTCGTGGTTACACGCAGAAAAATCCTTTCGCGACAGATCGGCACAAACAGATCCCCACGTAACGCACTATCACTAATTTATCACTGGTTATCATTATCCGAAGAAGAAACATTGAGGCCTCCCTCGATCGACGTCTACAGTGAGGTACTCTATTATAAATCTCAGCGAGTTCGCGATAATGAAAAGTCAAAAGCGAGAGAGATCAAAACCGATTTATGAAACCGATCGCTGGTGTCGCAACCACTAAACATGTACCTTCCACGTGTTTTAAGAAACGTTTCAAAGAATACTCAAAAAATATTGCTACAGAACTCCGTTTGTTACCGATCTCTTCGATTTAGGGATCGACACAGCGAGATTGTTCGCCAATTGGTCGCGACGAAGAAGGGGACCAGGCCGAGCCACGCGATCGGCTAGGAGAGGTTTTCGCATACGCACACAATTGTCACAAGGGGGGTCGCGGCCACGCGCAGGGTTATCTCGCAGGGTCGTCGGATGGTGCCGGTGCGGCGTCCGAGAAACTACTGAACGAGTGCCGCAGTTCTCTTCCCCGACTCGCCGGGTTCGGGCACGCTCCTCGGTTCGCTCTCGTAGAGAGACCGAACCGGCGCGGCGGTGGCGGCGGCGGCGGCGGCGGCGGCACACGAGCGCACACCACGGCGGCTTGGCGGCGGTGGCGGAGGCCAAGAGTGAAACCACCAACACTATATCAGCGGGACACACGGCGCGACTTGTTCTACTCACACGGGCCCGCCGCAGCAGCATCCATCCCATCCCGCGCGCTCCGGGAACTCCGAAAGAGCCGACTTGTTAATAGTGATCGTTCGCTGTCAGTCGTCTGACTGCGTTGCCGTCATCGTCGTCATTGTCGAAATCGTCATCGAAGTCGTCGTCCCCGTCCTCGTCCTTGTTGCCCCGTTCCGCTCGGTGTCGTCGCGTAACTGCATGTCCCGCTTCCGTCTCGTTCCAAGCAGCACGCGACAGATCTGGATGCTCGTTCGCTATACGCTCGCTACCGCACCAGGACCACCACCACCGTCAGAATCATCATCACCACTACCACCGGTTACCGTCACCACTACCACGCGCCACAGCTTTTTCTGCTCTCTCTCTTCTCTCTTCCTTTCTCTCTTTCCTCTTTTATGAGCTGATAAGCCTCTTCTGCTACTTCTTCTTCTTCGTTAAGAACTTCTTATCCTCTCACTCTCACTTGATATTCTTTTTCTTCTTCTTTCTTCTCTTGACTCTCCTGCCTCGATTTCTTCTACTCGTCTGTCTCTTCCTCGTTCTTCTTTGTTCCGCTCTTCTCACGTGATCCTCGTCTCTTTGACTCACCTCTCTTCGACCGCGAATCGTCCTCCAGTTCGCCTGGTCTATCCCAGATCCGTCGCACCGAAGAACACAGTTCTCGCGTTCTACTCTCTCTTCTTTTCTTCACGCGAGATCAGAATAGAGGAGCGACAATAGGGGGCTACTGCTCATCGGCGGGAAGAAAAGGACGGCCGGTGACAATGGCCATGAAGGACGTGCACGAACACCTGCGAACTCGGGAAGATGAATCGCTCGGAAATCGCGCCTCTTGCACGCGCGCTCGCATTAGGATTTCTCTCTGCCGTTTCTTTCTATTCTCGTTCTTTTTCTTTCTCTTGCAGTCTCTCCTCTGTCGCCACCTTTTTCCGCATGTAACTTCTTTTAGCGGGGTAGTTTTTGACGCTTTTTACATGACTGCTACGATTTGCTGCTGTGATTTGTTGCTATCGTTAGTAGTGTACGGATCGCGATGTCTTGTTAACTTCAGTTGAATCTTCTTTTTCCCATTCTCTCTTATTTGGAATAGAAAGCCTGGGTCAAACGGTACGCTGGATACTTCTACGAACAGAAAACAGATCGTTTTGCGGTTAGATCAAGTTTGTGTAATCATGAC